TTTTGTTTTGAGTTTTGCGTGATGTTTTTGAAGTAATTGTTTAAATTTCGTTTCATTACAGTTGGTTTTGTGCTTTGTTGTTGACTTTTCATTTAATTGTTAATTTTTTATTTGTTGTGTAGTTTTTTGGTAACTTAATAATTGATTCCTTTCTATATTGTTTATTATTCATCCTTAAATTATTTTATGTAAATCGATTCTATCGTCGTTACAAATTAAATCGATAAGATATTTAAGTTGATTTTTTAAATTAGTTTTCACATTACTACAACTCTAGAGATTTCAAATCTCAAGCGCCACCGGGGCAAGTGTAAAAAATGGCGGGTTTTTTGAAGTTACGAGTACAGTTTTTATTTTAAGAATATTATAAAGACAAAACGAAGAAAGAAATAGTGACGAAGAAAGTTAGAACTATATTCCGCATTTTAAGCCAAAATGCAAGACTTTATCCTGAAAACTCCACTAATTACGAATTCACAGTTATTGTTCAAAGTGATAGAAGATAATGTGATTTAAGTGAAAATAAAACATAAATATTGATTCACGCCGTTTAAAATCCTATTTAATACACCCAAATAAGTGAACTAAGTTATTTAAGACAAAGTTGAAACATAATGTATTAGAATTTAGAACTAAAATGGCAATTATTACTGAGGATCCCGATAATTAAACGAAGACATGGCTCAAAGGACTTGTATCCAAGCCAAAACTATTAATAAAAAAAAGTCACCGGAATCATGCTCTGTGAAATTAAACTATTTCGGAATCGATATTTTAGCGAAATTAAGTCATTAATATTTCCGCGATTAGCAAAGCAAGATCTTCAACCCCCTTATGAGCGGTTTTTATATATCTTATTTAGTATCAGTTTTATTGTTATACGACATTTTTCAATTAAATAAAACTTTAGGTGCCAATATTTCGAAAATTACCAAAATACAAATGCGATATTATGACCAGGAGGGCAGAAGTGTATACCAATGTCTTTTTACAAAGAGCAACCCCCGAAGTTGCTTACTCATACTTTTCGGGGGAATTTGCATTATGTAAACATAATCGACATCTACCACGACTCATTAAAGTTCAAACTGAATGTCACAACTGGTTTAACGTGGAATCTTAGGGGTTATAATTTGTTTAATAATTACTTAGATAATAGTTTTTGTTTTCTTTTTTTTCTCTACATGATTTTAACCATTTTCTTTTTAAATTAAGGTTATTTTCTCGTTAATGCTGTACACGCCTATAATGGTACAACACACTGCATAAAAATGTATATGTTAAAACAGTGTAAGGTTCTCTATGTGTCTGCTGACTTTGTATCTAAATATATATACAAATTAATAAATGAATAATAATATAACAATTACGTAACTTCGTAACTTATCCACCTTTTTTTTTTTTCTAAATAAAATAGTGACGGGTCGGCCTTTTCTGATGGCCTTACTGACCACGGCAGTATACGTAACAAAATTTAAAAAAAAACTCACATGCGCCCTTTCAACTAACGGCGGCAGTATAATTGTCCTATCTTAAAATATTAGATAGAGGATGAGGAAGTCAAGGGAGTAACTCAATTTTTAATATAATGAAGTTGAAATTCTCTTTTCACCGTTTTTCTTACGAACTAGGCATGTTTTATGGTTCGAAATAAATTATTATCATTCTGCTTTCTCATTTTTCGGCCTTTTACGGACCCAAATCAAGTAAATGCAAGTATGGTGTGTTGTGATAAGAGCCTAGTTCGTATTTTTCTGTCTACGTGACTACAACAACAACAATAGCATCGTTCACTTACACATCCCACTGCTGAGAACGGGGAACTCTCATGCGAGGGTTTAGGCCATAGTTGGTCACCCTGGCTTAAAATGGGATGGAGACTTTACACGTCTTCCGAGGTTGTAGGTTTCACCACGATTTTTACCTTCACCGAAAAGCACTTGGTAAATTTGTTTGAATTTTACTCATAAATTTGAATCCACGGCCTTGAGAGGCGGTAGCCTATACCATGGTAACTTCTGTCAAATTTGGTGACCTCAGTTTTTTTATGTGCGTGAACTTATTTTGCAAGGTAGTGTAGAAGGTTCCTTTAAAAACCCATAATTTGAGGCTGTGGATTAGAGAACTAGAGCCTGTTGTGGAAAGGATAGTCAAGACTTATACTTTTCCTTGTCACCAAATTCTAGTTACTTTATCTTTAAGTTTACGTGTTTACAAATTTTTTTCAGTTATTGTCTTTTACATGTTAACTATTTTGAGAACTACAATATCTACTAGGTAAGTAATTCTATGTACTTTATTGTTATTAAAGAGTATGGGCCGAAACAAAAATGCACTACAGTTTCTTTTAAATATATAACCACTACCGAGCCTACATGTAATATATGAGAAATATTCTTGACTTCTAACAAACCTCCTAGAACTTTTCCTTTCACAGGAGTATAAATATGTGTCCGTTTATTCTTGACACCTGGTTTTAACCAAGTCTACCGCTTTCCACGTGTCCATCCACATTCGCTCTATAAATTTGTATACTCAATCTACCAACATCCGTCCTTTACTATCCTAATCAATACACCAAAACGCTCTCTTACCACACTGTTCCGAATTCTTAATTATACGAAGAGAGATAGAAATGTCGCACATAAAACTAAATATTGTCGTAACTCAATTATGGTGAAATTAAGAAAACACGATTTGAAAATTCAAAACCTTACTGAATGGCGAATAATGGGTTTTTTTTATTTATACATAATATCTTATGATTCACTTATCGGTAAACGAGAATATATTATTGGTTCCATTCAGTAATTTTTGACTGGGACTTAAAACGTTTTCCAAAAATCGAGAACCTTCTGCGATATCCAGGGGCACTATGATTTTCTTCATCGAAAGATATACCTATCAAACATTCACAAATGTATGTAACATAGAAATTAAAGTCATGTGTACAAGGGTTTTGATGGAATCGTCATCCTCTCCATTGACAGTGACAAACAACTGTTCTTTCCACTGGGCTACCGCTCTTGCCCTCTCGCTCTCTCACAAAATTTACTTATAATGAACAAAAATTATCCATAACGGAGATGTTCAATTTTGGCCCAAATTGTATACCGAGGTAGAATTTATGTGATTTTTAAATTTCAATAGAAATTTGCTGAAAAATTAAATTCTTCAATTATACGATAAAAGAAAAACGACACTGCTTTCGAAGAAACGTAGATTATCATGATTTGGCAGCTGTGACTGTAGCTTAATAATCGGGTTCGATCGAGAGAATGTCCGAAAGTCGGTGATGAAAATATCAAAAACACAAATAGTAACTCCAGGAACGCCAATCCAAAGAAACACAGATCAGAAACGAAATAAGAAATCTCTATGACGTGGACATGTGGATCGCGTCATAATGTAACATTTAAAGTGTTTAAATGGCGACCTTTAGCAGCAATGCAGTAGATATACAGTTTTAATGATGCAATAGCCTATAAATCCCAAGTGTAGCGATGCAATAGCGCGTTTGTATCGATGCAGTCGCGCGCTTGCATCGCTGCTATAGTCGCCGTGTGTAACCACTCTTAAATAGAGTTTAAGAGATTGAGACATAGTTTTTTAGCTGACCTTATTAGATATTGTATATAATAATGGACTCGTATTGAATGCGTTATAAAGGAATTAGTAGGATATTTTTTACAAACCTACAAATGATGTTTAAATCTATTTTTTAAATAATCCCTATGGCTGGATACCTATTATTTAAGTCATAGATATTGCCATATACAATTATTATGTTACCATACGTTCGAACGATAATTTTGAGAGGTACAAGTGATTAACAAATTCCATTTTATTTTTTATGAATTCACTGTAATTTTTTATTCAATAATATGTAATAAATACTTATCTATCACATATTATCTATATATTACCTAGGTAACCGAACTATATATAATTTACACTACGTCTATACAACGCGGATTTCGTCAGATATAACATTTAAATCGAGTAGGTATGACATTTTATACGGAACGAATAGACTTTTTTGTACATTTTGGACAGCGGTCTCATAGTAAAACCAGTTAATATTGAGAAGTACGTATTGATTGAATATATGAAAACAAACATGACTAATCTTCTTCTACGTAGAATACATGGATTACACAAATATCACTTCATTGTAATGCGCAACAACTCAACAAGTTGGTTCTTTTATTTACGAAATTTAAAAAAAAAATATTATAACCAAATCAACAACTTCAATCTATAGACAAGAACATTCACAACAACTACATGTTCAAACAAACAACTATCAATAGTGACATTGTTTTGTTTTAATGTTGAATTTTGTCAAAGAGTATCACTATCGTAGTACCGTGGACAGACGCCACAGTCCATACCTATTGGGAATGAGCTTGACAGGCAAATAATATTGAGTGTTTACCAATGACATGTATCCATTTTGGAATTAACGTAAACTTCCTGTCATCCAGTTGGGGAATTAACGTAAAGTTCCTGGCAACGTCGCTATTACTTGCACAATACATTTCATTTTGCTTTGATTATATTACTAAAAAAAAACAAATTATGTAAAAAAATACAGTCGAGTTTTTGAAATTATTGCTGTCAATTTATGTATGTTGCCTTGCCGAAAGGCTAGGATCTTGCAGCCTGGTATTCTTGTTATTTTTTTTTAAATTTATACATCCAAATGGTAACTATAGAAATTATTTTACTCATATTATCCCTACTCTGTTATTGTGAAGTCATAACACTCTGTTGCTTATTAATCTATGATATTGAAGTGTTGTGTCGTAACCGCACACCAGTAAAACACAGCGTGTACGGAACGTCGCATCTAGCACGCTAGTACATAGATATTGTTGAATAAAATTGTGACAAAGAACACCAACATGCGGGGAACGAAAAACAGGGGTATTGTTTAAAAAATGATTTAAAACAAATGAAAACCGAAACAATCAAGACCAACAGAACGAAAAACTTACGATTTCGACGACGATCGCGATCGACTAGCTCTATTCTTCTTTTGACCCGTGGACACCATTTCGGGAGCGAAATTCGAGCATTCTGCTGCTGCACCGAGACCCGATAGAGTATCGATTGCCGAGCCTCAACCGTTACAGCCTAACTGTACATTTGCATGCGTGCACGTATAGACAACCAGTTTGATTGAACCTTAGGCGTCACTTGTAATGTGTAAAGTAGGGGCCCCTTTTAAATTGGTGCTCTCGGAATTTCGGCTGCGACCCGGTTCCGGCATGCAACACACGCGCACGCGTACTAGAATGGTGGGGCGGGAGGGGAGTGCACCGAGTTGCGCAAAGTGCCGCAGCGGCGGTCACTCTGCAGCTGTAGTTTGGGAAAGAGTAGCTTGCTTCAGACAACAAATTGAACGAATGAATGAATGGAATAATCTTTTAATACATATTTATTGGGTATATCATTAGAAGACGATATTAATAAACTTACTATATTGTTAAAATATTTTACGAGAGTGATTTTATGTTCTATTGTGTGCAATAAAGTATATTGCTTTGCGATGAATTGTATACAATATGCAACACGTGTAAAAGGTCATTGACATATTTCAATACTTGGGAATAAAACAACAAACAACCACAAACTTTGTTAGGAGGAAATTTTATTTTAACCTAAAAAACATAATTCCCGCGACTTCTAATTGAAATGCAATAATGCAGTACAAGTTTTTTTACAAAGCCATTGACCTAAATTCATTTATTTTTCATATATTAAATTTAGTATTAGTTTATGTACGATTATTGTGGACCATCGGATAATTTGGAAAATATCTTTTGTTGTTAAATTTGTGTTATGGTTATTTATTACTATATCAATATTCCATAAAAATCTCAAGGTTATTGTAATTTATTGATATCAGTAGGTATTTTCGAAGGTAATTCCTTATCATGAGACACATCGGTAGCGTATTACCATGATGACTAATTTTATGTTTCGAATTAAAATTATATTGTACTGGTTTAACGCTCTGTTTAAATATATTTTTTTAATTACCAAATGGAGACTGAAATATAATAAAATGGCGCATAATATAACAATACAATAAATAGTCAAATAAATAACTTCCTGATTAATCTGATTACAAAATTGCTCTACGCAAGTACAATGTGCACGATTCTAACGGGCCCCAAACAAAGCCCTGCATCGAGCGAATACAGCCTTTACTGCATTCAATGTTCCCACAGGTCCCCCCGCGCGTCGCACCGCTCCCCTCCCGGGTCATAATTTACTACGACGACGTAAGCACATTGAAATTTTGGACTCTATTTCCACGAACGAAGCAGTGAAATTGCTTAGAGACACATTCAGAGCTCCGATTTTCCACTAACTACAAAACAAACACAACGAATTTGAACCTTAATGCTAAGGCGATAATAACGATAAGGTTATTGAATAGGTAGGATTTGGCATGGTCGCAGTGTAGTTGTAGAGTTCTAGTATTTATGTAACGATGAGAAAAATGTACGCAATAATAAAAAGTTTAATAGGAACTTGTGTACATTTTAATAGGAACGAAAATCCCGTGCCTGATTGTTTTTTTAATGTGTTTATGACGATTGATTTCATGATTAGAAATGCTTTGATTGTATGATTATTTGGAAAGGATAGATTTTTTTTACGATACCAAGTGACGCATGATATTAAAGCCCACTGCCACTGCGCCCGTAATCCTCAGATATGTAAGTTGACAAGTCCCAGTACTACCAGGACCCTTAACAAACCGGAACACAGTAATGCTCACGTCACTGCTCGGCGGCAGAAATAGGAATAAATTGATGATGACAATGATAAGCTGGCGGAAAGAATAAAAAGTAATAAGTACCAGGATTCCAGACTACCTTTGGAGTCAAAATCCCGTGCGGTCCCAGTACCCTTCATCTGTACAAAATGTTATCCAAAAAATTAATAGGCTGTTTGGGAAACCCAAGGGCCGGCAGCTACTTTGCCCAACGCATTAGCATAGCAATACAAAGGGGGAACGCTGCCAGCATCTTGGGCACCTTGTCACGGGGACGCTACTATATTCATACCCACCAAGTATTAGTTTCTAGTATTTAAGTTTTTATTGTACCTTTCACACTGTATATTTTAACTTATTGTCTAATAAATAGTTAAAAATACATAATGTGTTTCAAGTAGTTCGTGTTATTTTTATGATTTTCATTTAATTAAAGCAATTTTGAAGGCTTTATTATAATGCCAAGGAGAAGAATTTTCCATTTAGTTCATCTCGTTAGTTCTGGTATATGTTAGGTCAGCGCTCTTTCACCACCACCAAGTTGTTCACAGTAGCTTCATGTTAAACAATTCCGAGATGCAGCTGTCCTTTAATGCATGTATTGTTCGTAAACATTTCGGAATTTATTAATTTTTTTTATTACTTTCTGTTAAGCTTTATTTGTTTTTTTTTACCTTACCCGTATATTATCAAAATAAAAATACAACGATGAGAAGAAAATTTGGAAAATTACTTGCCCTTTGAAAACCAAGTAATTTGACACAAATCACCAAGAACATTTGAAGCACGCATACAACGATTGCACTAGTCATACCGTGACCGTGCAACGGTACTTGAAATTGGCTCAAATCATAGCTCAACTGCATCGCACTACCATTAGATACGCCTGCATTTTGGGGAACAAAGCTGAATCGAAAATTCTTTTTTCGCTAAGTACCGTACAAAGAGATCGTACTTTATTGTACCGTAACCTATTAAGAAGACACCAATGGCGGCTGCTTTCAGGTTTACCTAAACTTCAAGTGATACACATAGAGTAAATACTACCTCCTGAAATATCGGAATTATTAAAAAAAAATATTTCGTATGGTATAGTGTGTATTTTAAATTATAATTACAAAGCTTTTCTTCTAAATCATTGACTTACAATTATATGGACGTCGGGTCCGCGCTAAAAAGTGTCCGAACTTATAGGGCGTTAAAATCGTATACAGAGCGTCATTCACGCTTTAGTCTTCGTTTGTTCGACTGACAGCGAAGCAAGCAAAATTAGACAGTACTGCGATGACATTACAATTTAAATTCAACGTTTTAGCTTTTTCATATTCCTTTACATGTCACTACGTTTAAATAGGTTGACTTGGGATAATTTTTTCGTGGTTTTTGTGTTAGACCCGTCGTCCATTTATTTGTAAGTCAATGTTCTAAATACACTATCGTAGTAATAATAATGCATATAGATATAAAAAAGGTTAACCAGGTGGGTTTTTTTTATAATACCAAATGACGGGACGATCAAGTCGTACGCCTGGTGGTAAACTGGAACTCTAAACTGAAACACAGTAATGCTGACATTACTGCTTGGCGGCAGAACTAGGTAAGGTGGCAGTACTTCCCTGGACGAACTCTTTAACAAGCACCTCTACTGCTACTAAAGTGGTCCTGGAGAAAAGCTTAAAAACAGCTACACAGACGAGAAGGACGCTGTTAAACAGAGAGAAACATTAATAATAACCATAGGCACTGGAATAGTAAAATAATTACTAGTTACATAACAAATAACCATTCCGGTATTTCAGAAGGAGGTATTATTCACTCTATGTGTATTATGTAGTTCTTTGTAGTTAAGGTGAGCATACTCCGCCTATTGGAATTAATTTACTAAAATTAGATACTACAAAATCGACTACTATGTAGTTAAAAATAACCATCAATTACATAAACGAGTATATCTTAATTGTAATAAAACATCTTTATTCATTTTGCCTTATAAAAAGCAACGACCTATATAAAACCACCTTTTTTCAATGTCCGTATAAAAATTATACAGATTTAATAACAATACAGATAGGGGCGTAACAAATATGAGAAACATAGCAAACTCGTTAGTTTAACTACATTCTGTGTCTCAGACAGTAATCTGTTAAAATGGATACTTTTGTATATGCATGTATAAATTATACAACAAAAGTTGATTGTTGTTTAATATCATATTACAGTTATAATATGGACCACAGTTTCTATGTCGCACTGCTGTTGCAATTGCTTATAACTCATAATCTAAGATACTTCATCTTCGGTACCACCTCAGCTAGAATTAAAATTTTTACCGTACTAATACGGTTCGTTTTGCTTGGGGCTAGCGACAGGGACACTGGCTTTATTTCATAATTTATTTTTTTACAAACAAAATTAAAAGAATTTGAAAAATGGATATCGTATACTATACGTGTTTTAGTTACGTGTTTAGTTCAGTTGATATAAAAAAAAAATCATTGCTATATTGAAATTACCTATGAGATAAGTTTGTGTTCTATTGTAAACATTTTTAGGAGGGTGTTACTCAGTGTAAGATCCTCAATTTTACTATATATTTCTTCCAAAGTAATTGATTCCACACTTTCACTGCTATGCGAAATCAACCAACGCCATTTGAGATTGTTGCAGTGTAGACTCTTAACTCATAATGGCACAAACATTTTGTGTCCAAGGAGAAAACATTCCTTACTCAAAAATACAAAATCGTTAAGATTTATTTATTTATTTATTGAGGAATGACAAACAAATGTACACGGTGAGTTATACAGAATAAGAATATCGGTTTAGCTAATAGTACAATCAACCACATCATCCACAGATTACTACAAAAATATAAAATTTTAAATTGAAGCATAATCGCTAGTGTAATTATTTAAAAGTGCAATGCCGACAAAGAAAATAAGTTTAAAAAACAAACAAACTTAATAACGTTACTAAGTACAATTAAAAAAAAAACAGTTTCACAATCCACTACAGTGTCATACCCAATGCTTCAGTAACCGCCCTCTTAAATTTGTATTTAGACAGATCAAAAATGTCAACTTCCGACAATAGCTCATTATAATTTTGAAATGGTCGCCTTAGAGGAGCGCGTATACCGAGACGTAAGTGCAAAGATCTCTCTAATAATCTTTGATATATACATAAATTTTAATAATCCTTCACCGGAAGTGAATAATGATTTTTTTTATCGATTCTATTACAAAAGATTGTATTAACAGTATAAAATA